TATGCCGGAGCATTTTTGACTGTTTGTTATCCTCAGGAATGTGAGCATAAGCGATTGATATCTGTGGGTTGGATAGCACTTGCCGGATATCCACGGGCCAGTGACTTTAGTTTGTGGCGAGGCACATCCACCACGTCGCAGTGTTGTTAAACAGACATTTGTGGCTTTTTATAGGGAGAATGCTTGCCAGGCGAAAACCCACCACGTCCTGGAACACTGCCGCCGAACTATTTGCTGGAACGGGTTAAACCCAAACCACCCAGCTGGCACCACGCGGAGGTTGTTCGGCTAGCCAGCTAATACAATAATAATGGAAATGAGAATAGGAAAGTACAACTGGCAAGAGATATGTACAAGCGCTACAGGATCCTCCCGCGCGGGGCTGTTTCCTAGTGGTTGGGATACCATATTCAATGAGAAGGTTTAGTTTGAAGCGTAGAACATTCCAGACAACTGCAACGCCCAGAGCTTTAGGGGTAGTCCAGTCCTATGCGCCAACCACCGTTCTTCGGTGGGAAAAATTGGCGCGCTAGAGGTTCTGACAGTAGGCTCCTCGTTGGTGAGCGACTAAGTGCTGCATCCAAGTGGAGATGCGGGTGCAATGATCGATAAACCTAGTTGATGGGAGAGAGGTCGGAGGCGTGAGATATTGCCGGTGTTAACACGTGAGCGAGGACGTACAGTGGCTGATCCGGCATTATCCTAGTTTGAACAAATGTATCTGCAAAATATTATATTCCCAATTAACTGAGTGCGTGTTATGGTGTTCATCCATTCGGCAGTTTCATGCTGATTGGCCGCGATTATTCAACAAACGACCACATCGATTCGTGGTGCTGTGCCAGCAGGCAAGGTAAGAAGTGTGGATTTTCTTTCAGACATCGCAAACACTTGTAAAGTCGCTTTACACTAACTACATTTAGTCAAAACTCGCAACATAGTCCTAGCGCTCTGGTCCCATTTGAAAGCAACCAAGTCGGCAAAAACACGCAGGCGGCTATCACCAACTGCTGAACAAATATTTCAATCCGAAATATTTTTGACCGGCGTGCTCTCGATGCTAGGTGCCTCAAGAGACACAACCTAATGTAGTGTCAAATAAGACTGATTTCCATCGGTAAACCCATTGATACTATTGTCAATGATGGTTTATTGCTCTTTGCAAAATGAGTTTAAGTGCAGATTCAAGTTCAGTTAGGACCGGAACGATGGAATAATCCCGTGAATGTTCCTTCTTTTGCGCATCATCTGATCAGGAATTGACAGGTCTGCTTGAGATGTTGAAAAGCCTAAAACAAAGACCGCATCACACCCTGTCCAACCAATTACTGCCCACATTATCCTGCCCAGCAGTCCCTGCCAGGCCGGTTTATGTGAAGTAAAAGAGTGAGGGGTTGGCTAAGAAAACAAGAGGAGGAATGTCAGCTAACTAATGCCAATACCAAGGCGAGAAGAAGATTTAAAAAGAACGAAGGGAAAGTTGAAGATACAAGTTGGTTGGGAGAAGGGGAAGGTTTGGTACTGCCACCCAAGAGCATCTAACTGACGCCCGAAACTCTCTACCTTAGACTCACTAACCACGTGCGCTGGAAGCGAGTTCCAACGTTCAATAACTCGACGCGACAAGCGAGTTTCCTTCCTTACCCGGTCAGGACGCTGTTTGTGCAGCTTCAACGGGTGACCTCGGAGACTAGGCGGCTTGGCTGGACTAAATAGTCAGGACAAGTCTGGATCGATCGTATCAGTTAAGATACGGTAAGTGAGGATCAAGTCTCCTCTAATTCTGCGGTAGTGTATTGAGTACATACCCAAGTTAAGCAAACGGTCGGGACAAGTTTGCCCCGTAATCCTTGCACTAACCTTGTACCCACTCGCAAAACCCTCTCCAGTTCCATTTTGTCCCTTACAAGACAAGGTGGACAAGCCTGGATACAGTACTCTAAGTGGGATCGCATAAAAGCTGAGAACAGCTTCACAAAACACTGACCGTTAGGACACCGAGGCAGCGGCGAAGAAAGCACATCATGCGGAACCCTCTACAAGCAGTCTTCCACCAATTTTCCCCAGAGTGAAGCAATGAGTTATGGGTGATACCTAGAACAACCTGCTGAATGACATCAGGGAATTCACTTCCATCAACTATATAGCGTGTGGGTGGACTAGCACCTCCAATGCGGAGGACAGAACATCTCGCTTGATTTATGAGCATCAACCATAGGGTTGACCAAGCCCAGAGCCTATCTAAGGCCCTCTGAAGTGCCTCAGAGCATCCAGGGATACCTACAATATTCCAGAGCTTTAGGTCATCAGCAAACAATAGCGACAGTAATCCAAGCTCCCGGGGTAGGAAATTGACAAAAATTGCGAAAAGCAACAGCCCTAGAACCGAGCCCTGCGGAATGCCACTAAGAACAGCTTGTCTAAGCGAAAGGCTACGCCCCACGCGTACACACTGTTCTCTGCCCTCTAGGAAAGCAGAAACCCATTTAAGGGCGGCTCCAGATATCCCATACGATCTCAACTTCAATGAAAGTCATTGATGTGGAATAGCATCAAAGGCTTTCGAGAAGTCAACGAAAAGCACGTCGATGTCGTGACCTGTGTCTACTGCCTCAACCCAGCTTTCACGAGCTACAAGTAAATTTGTCAGGCATGAAAACCCCTTACGGAATCCGTGCTGGGCCGCACCGAGAAGGTTATACTTAATCAGTGAATCTAAATTGAACCCCTGACCAATTTTACAAACATCTTAACTACCACACTCGTTAAGCTGACGGGCCGGAAGTTCGCGGGCAGAACTCTGTCCCCGCCCTTAAAAATCGGACAGATGATTACCTTCTTCCATTCAGAAGGTAAGGCACAGCTGTCGAGTGATATTGTAAACATGCATGTCAGAGGGCCACTTAGCTCAGCGGCCAATTCCTGCATCAGCTTCAGATGAATTGAATCAGTGCCAGTAGCATTGGAAGGATTTAGCCCTTGCAATAGCATGAAGACTTGTGTCTCCGTTATGCTGATTTCAGTTAGGCAAGAATCCTCCGGAACTTTTGTGACCAGCTCAACCTGAGGTAGAGAGGCCTCATGAGAAAAGGCACCAGTATACAGTTTGCTAAGTATGCAGGCGTTATCCTAGTCGGTATGCCCATGGGTCCCGACCGATCGTAGTAAAGCCGGTGTAGACGAGTTTGTACTGCTACGTCTCTTTACGTAAGCAATGAACTTCTTTGGATTTGTTACCGCTGCGTTAGCCAAATCCTGCTCGTACTGAAGCCGAAGAGTTCTAAGATGATGCTTACATTTATTTCTAACCGCTCGATATTTTTCGTAGGTGCTGGTTGTTGAAGCCGCTTGGTAAGTTCGCCAGCACTTAGAGCGCTTCCTGAGCAGGTGTTTACCTGTATGATCTATCCATGGAGGCTGCGCCTGTGTCACCCTTCTTTTAGTGAGTGGGATGTAGGGAGCAGAGAACTCGGTGAGGTATGCGTTAAATTTCTCCCAGGCTGTCTCAACGGTGTCAGCCACGGTGATCACACAACGCACAACTGAAGCTTTGGCTCGCATTGCGTTAAAGTCTGTCCGCCAAGTATTTGAACATGCCTCAGCGGTAGCTTGATGACACTTAATTAGAGCACATTGAAAGGATATGCAGACATTGTCACTGGCTCCTAGAGGACAGTCGTAGGTAATATCACTTACAAAATCGTGCGACTTCGCAAAAATGAGATCCAAGGTAGACAGAACTTGGTTGCGCATATATCCAGTCGGGAGGTCCACGAACTGATGCAAAGGCAGTTGCAATTTTAGTTCAAGAAGATCCGAACCGAAAGTACCCACCGCCGCACTGCAAGATAGATCAGCCCAGCAGACTTCAGCGAGGTTGAAGTCACCCAGCAGTACACACCTATTGGCAGCCTGAGTACGAATAAATTCAATAACCTCCCTGGAGATGCTTCAGGACTTCGATATACCACTACAACTGTAAACTGAGCAGAGAAAGTGCACACAATAGTCGAGAGGGCTTCAACAGTTTGATCCAGCGACCGGAACACACAGGTCCTCAAAACACCGAGTTTACAACTCACATAAAGAGCGACGCCCCCACCTTGGCGGCCAACGGAGCGATCGCATCTAAGCAGTGCGTAGCCAGGGAAACATACTTCACCGTCTGTGATATCCGGGGACAGCCACGTTTCGGTGATGGCAAGTATGTCGGGACAAGCTTTGTCTACAAGTAGACTCACTTAATGTGCCTTGTTCCTTAGGCTATGCACATAACTAAGCACTACCCGAAGGGACTCGGCACGACCAGCTCTGGGTCGTGCATACATAGCGCTGCATGCCACCACACTCGTCCGTCAAAAGATTTGAGCAGCTCCCGCTGCCGCATACCGCATAAGATTCTCTGATCAATGCAGCCGAAGACACATTAGCCCCGGTATTCAGTGAATCCAACATGACGCTTTCAAAGGTGAAACAAGTATCAAAAGGTAAAACCAACAAGCTGTTACCTGCAGGGCAGTCAACAGCATTAGTTTTGGGTTACACAAGGTGCAAAACGGATTACAGAACACAAAAATATCGGAGAAATAACCAGAGGCTGAACCCGAAAAAGATGGACAACGTTGGTACGTACACGAGAACGGTTCCGACGTAATCCGGGGAAAACGATGATTCAAAATTCTTTGGATCAAGAGAAATTTGACAAAGGTCCTAATTTTTGCACGACACTTGTAAACACTGTTCCGGAACTGTCTTTTGAAAGTAAAACCTCAAAAAGCCAGCACACTCAAACATTTCAATTTACCGCCAAGGAGGAGGAAACCGAAGTATTGCGTCTCTTTATTGCTTTCTAGCTCAAAATCCTACGCGCTTTACGTAAGCAAACAATTCATTTTATGCTGCAGCTGTAGTTTTTAAATATATCACGCTTTTGTTTTAATCGTTACGAAAAATCGAGAACAGCATCTACGGCTTGATTTTGTCTGCGCGTGTTCGTTGCCATGTCTGGTGATCAGCCTACTCCGTAAGTCTTGTTTTTCGACATTTTGTCTTTTAAAGCTCCACACCTCAGGTACTTTGGGCCCAGAGAAAGGACATTTTATACGTCACCATCTCCCTAGGAGACGTGAAAGACAAGGTGATAAATGTAAAGGACGGTTCGCTACATTTCAGGTATGGTTCGATGTTTATTTTTAATCCACAGGGGTAAATCGGGTACTCCTAAGCCCATTGATTATGAAGTAAATTTAGAGTTTTACAGTCAGGTGGATCCTGAGGTTTGTCCATCTTTTGTTTTATGTCTCCGGTTAGAGTGTGAGGCAAGCCAACACGTGCAGAGAGATATTCCTCGTAATTAAGAAGAAAGAATCTGGTTTCTGGCCACGTTTGTTGTCTACTTCTGCGAAACAACCTTGGCTACGTGTTGATTTCAATCGCTGGAAAGATGAGGATGAATCGGAGCCCGAATTCGGCGGTATGGACGGTGACTTTTCCCGTCTACTTTCTGGTATGTCCGACAACGATGTCCCCGACCCGGGCATGGATGATTTCGACTCCGATGACGATGGTAAGCTTTGTACTCAGCAACTTTGCTTGCGTGCTTCGTTCCCACGATTTTGAATTACTTGCTATGCTGCTATACCGTGCCTGAATAGCCTCTAAGTTCATGAGACCGGAACAGCACTAATTCTTTTGTGTTTTTTCGTGAAAGCGTCGATACAGGGTACATGTCGACGGCGATTTCCGCAATCATCTAGAGTCGAAGCCATAATCAACCACTTGATGCCGGCGAGCCTTGCACTAGCAGTGTCCATTGCACCAGCCACCTAAGAGTAAACATACGACGTAATAAAATCGGAACTATGAATGTACTAATAGTTAAGTGTAGAATCTAAGATGTACTGGGGCAGATTTTGGACTGCAGCACGATGGCGTCGAGTTTATATTTAGGCACCTCAGTTCGTGTTGACATAACGTTCTCAGGTAACGCACTCTAGCAATCAACTACTCTACGTGACACTCGAACGTTTGTCTAAACTTTATCGGATCGTGATTTGTGCAACTTAATCGAATAACCGCGGAGAGGTGGTAGTAGGGTTGGTTCAAAAGATGAAGACGGTGGTAGGCTTCCGTGTCCTATGCATACGTGGGTCTTACTAGACTGAAGGGACTGTAAGGCTACTTCGTAGGCAGCTGAACAACCAGTTTGTAAGCGTCGGAGCTGCACGGAATATGTGCTTGCTACACCTCGTGGCGAACTTCACGGTAATGTCACAGCCACTAACGGAGGACTGGGTGTGTGCTGCTTGGCTACATGGAGTAAAAACAAGCGCGAGAAATCGCTGCTCTGCGGACACAAAAGACAATTGGAAGAGGAAGAAATAGTCGCAGCTCAGGCTACGCTCGACGAATTCCGACCTGTAGGTTTCCCATAGCGACACCGACGCTCTACACAAATCAGGGCGTCTTCCCTGTCAGAATCAGCTTGCCGCAATGTCGGCTGTAGTGCGGCAAAAATATTCCAAGCCTAAGGACTCTCGGGGGTATGTCCTTGAACCATTTTTGTGCCGATACTAAAGGGCCGCTCCACTGACATCCTACCATTAACCAAGCACGTAAGACAAGTTCAGCCGCAAACTTCTAGGTGCGGGCTAACGAAGGCTAGAAACAGTGATGAACATTCCCGATGTAATGGTTCCGAACGATCTCGCGCACCATCCACAGTATTCTGAAAGCTTTGTCAGCGACCTTTCAATGCTCGCTCGAATTGAAAAGCAACACCCAACTCAATCAGCTGGGACACCTAAGGTTGCTCATACCATCCATGTTGATAGTGTGGGGGGATCGCTTGACCCTCACATACCACACACGTTAGTCAGAGGGGGGAAAGCTCAGCTACTGTGCCACAATACCTAGAAGAAAAGAAGGAATAAAATGCAACAGATGCAATCCAGCTGAGCTCCCGGTAGCGAATGGGCATCGTTCCAGTAATCGACCTGCCGGCTAGTATGCAGCAGAAAAAAAACTGATTTGCTATGCAAAATCATGAAATGCTACATTATGAGGTCGTTATTGGAGGGGGAGGCTGCGTGATTAAGTGGGACAAAGATACAGAACAAACGCCACTGAGGTCGGCTCCTTGTCATCACAGCAAGTGTATCCAGCAAAACGTGTTCATCGTCTTTCGGACACCAACTACGTAGCCGCGACGCAACAACTGAGGCCAGCTTCGAAGTGAGGGCCGTCATTCCTCAAACAACACACATCGCAGGAGTTGGTGGGCTGGCATGCGTAACACGTGGCCGATCCATCGGCGCCTGGTGCGTGAAATAACGGTGCTGAGCGGTTCGTTTCCTTTTCCTGTGCCGTAAACAAGGCGTCGAACACGCTCCTTGCTCATGCGGTGTTCCCACCAGATGTGAGCCAAACTGCGAAGGCATCGATGGTCGAACGTAACTAGCCTTTTTA